GCGGTCGTATAACGTTATGTCGTTGTGAGCATCGCCGCCGTCGTCGTCGTCCGAAGATATTTGGTTTCCGGACAATAACTTGAGTATAATTGTATGGATCTCTATGAAATTGTACCACAAGGTTCCATACAATAAACAGAAGGTTGGGATTGATTTTGGGGGTAATGGCCCTAGCCGTTTAGGAATATGGGGCCACAAAACTAGGATTTTCTGGTTTTCGGATAATAACGTTATTATAGTCTATGGATCCCTATAAAATTGTACCACAAGGTTTTATACCAAAAGAGGAAGGTTGAGATTGATTTTGGGGATTATTGTCCTAACCACTTATGATAAAGGGGCCAAAAACAATACTTTTCTAAGACATTGTATAAATTGCTTATTTCTTGACCAATTTCAATGAGGTTTAATTCAAAGTCTTGAATTCTTAAGGTTCTTAAATATGCTGTATCTAACAGTGTATTTAGATTTTGGATTTTGGGCCCCGTTTTTAGATTGGTCCATATTGAGGTCCGAAGGGTCCAAAATTTAACTTTGTTTGATTTTATCAAAATTTATTTATCTGGGTTCTTTGATATGCTGAATCTAACCGTGTATTTTGATTTTTAATTTTTGAGACTGTTTCAAAATTGGTCCACATTAAGGACCAAAGGGTCTAAAATTAAACTTAATTTGATTTTAACAAATATTGAATATGTGGGGTTCTTTAATAAACTGAATCTAACCGTATATTTAGATTTGAGTTTGGGCCCCGTTATCAAATTGGTCCACATATATTGAGGTCCAAAATTAAACTTTGTTTGATTTCATAAAAAAAAATGAATTCTCGGGGTTCTTTGATATACTGAATCTAACCGTGTATTTAGATTTTTGTATTTGGGCCCCGTTATCAAATTGGTCCACATTGAGTTCCAAATATAAGCTATGTTTGATTTCCTAAAAAAATGAATTCTTGGGTTCTTTGATATGCTGAATCTAACCATGTATTTAGAATTTTGATATTTGACCATAATAGGTAAATGTCCAATTTCAATTTTTTAAGTTCTTAGACTACATTTATTCTGTAACAGAAACCTATGCTATTTCAAATATTTAATCACAATCCAAATTCAATTCTGTATTGCACAATTAATATAGATTGTAAGTAGATTCATAGCTAAATTAGATACATCATCAAATTCTAAGTTTAGAGAAGAAATTATGTATAAAATTTAATATAGTTTGAAATTTAGCTTTTATCCTTGTTGAGCTGTAGACCTTTAAGTAGCGAAAAGTGATACTTAGAGCGTTGTCCGTGTAGTAACTTGAAAACGCTTTGACGAAAATCAAATTTAGATATGTTGTTTCCTGTGACAAAATGAAGGTCAAGTTTGATTTTCACAATTTAAGCTTGTATCGTTGTTAAGTTGTAGACCTTTGAGTAGCGAAAAGTAATACTTAGATTGATTTTGACCTTTCCATTTCTGAACCCTACAAAAATTCATTTATTTTTTTACTTGTTTCTGTTTGTGGGTCCACATTTGCAAATATCATTTTCATGACAGCCTCTTGTTTTTTTTTTTTTTATTTTTTTGGTACATATTTTGAAGAATTTCGTGTTAGGTTTGTTTGTAATTCTGTATAAATTAAATTTCAGAATGCTATATATATATAACTTTTTGTGGGGATGAAGAGAACCCCTTAAAAAACTAAGCTAGTATTGTCCATTAATAAAAAGATAAATTAAATTTTTGGTATACTTGTGCTGAATCTAACCGTGTATTTAGATTTTGGATATTGGACCATAATAATACAAGTCCAATTTAAAAATCTTCAGTTCTTTGACCACATTCATTTTGTGTCAGAAACAAATGCTGTGTCAAATATTTAATCACAATCCAAATTCAGAGCTGTATCAAGCTTGAATGTAGTGTCTATACTTGCCCCAACTGTTCAGGTTTCGACCTCTGCGGTCGTATCAAGATGCACCCAGCGGAGCATTTTATTACAAAATAGGAGTAAGAAAGAAAAAAAAAGAACAAATGAAACTGTGTGCACTGATTAAGTGCTTATCGCAAAATAGGAAATATCCCGAATAAAAGACAAGCTTATACGATTACATAACAATGATGTTTCATAAAGGTTTCATAATGTTGATTGCTAGATATTAAAGTGCTGTTTCCAAATACACCAATAACTGTACATGCTCTCCTTGACAACGTCACACCAATACGTAGTAATATTTGTAAAGTTTGATTTTACTAATATTTTCTTGGTTTTAGCAATAAATGTTATTGTTATTGATGCTTCTCTTTTGTAGTTTTGAAGCTTTCGTGTTTTACAAGAAATGCGCTTCGCGGAGACTATCATTTAATATTGAGCATGCTCTATTTTTTCACAGGAAACACATATTGGTACTTGATATGTCCGTAATTTCTTGCTGTAGCTTTTCTTATGATGCATGTTAATTTATGTAGAGCACATACAAAATCGGTCATCAACATTTATTTGAAGATTTGACTTTTCACAGTACGGTTTCACTAGATATATCTTTCACGTTTGACCTCTCATAAGTAAATGTACACAAATAAACAAAAAAACAAACAAAAAGATAACACGGAATCAAAACGAGCATGATGCTGAGGCCTGGTATTTCCCCGTCCGAGTCTGAACATGCCAATAATAAAGATTCTGAAAGACACTCGGTGACCCCAACTTGACCTTAAGGTTTTACGGATTTTTTTCCATAACTCACTATATTTGTTCCAAATACAAAGAATACATTTCTACTAGCATAGTACATTAAGCAACCTCGACCTGTAGGCTATGTTTCCGCTATGACACATCCTTAACTTATTTCGAAGATCTAGCAGACATTTCGTATAATGGCTGTAATACAGCAGTTGTGATATTCTCGTGATTCCATTGTTGGTAGAGTTGTAGCTATTCCTGTCTTGTGTATCCCAAAACATTACCTCCGGATGTCTTTTATTCAGGTCATAATGCAAAGAAGTAATTAAATCAAATTTTGGTGCAAACATTTGAAACAATTTTTGAACAAGTTTGTTTTTTTTTCTACATGGGATTTCCGCTTACAGAAAAATTATAAAGTGATTTATCAGTACATAAATACGAATGAAATAATGTTATAAAAGTTATCATAAGAGTACTTTTTTGGCCACATAAATTCGAAAATCAAAAAGTTTAACATATCTATCAAACAACATCATTTGAATGTTCACAAACATTTATTCTGTTTGATATCAATATTTTTATATTTTGCCTTACATATTTGCTTTAGGGCTTCAAATGTGGAAGAAATAGCCTCTTTTAGAAGGCTTGGGATTTATACTCAGATATTAGCGAAGGCCTTCTCCAAGAAGATATTTTGCTACACAATGTATTATACGAAGATGTTAATGTGGGTAAATGTCTTAAAAGGTTTGGCCTTGACTTATATGTAATTTTGTTGATGTTTCAATTACACTTAAATCACTTATTAAAAATAATAAACAAACATTTCTAACAATGCATGGTTCCGATACAGATGATATAAAATGTATAATGTTGTCATGATGCCGTGCGTATCTTTTAATGTGATTAAAGATATCCTGGTATCCCCCGAAAGATCATCACTGAATAACTTTATCATTACGAAATGCAATGGTTGGTCAAATTGAATTTTGGTGCAAATTTAGATATCCTTTTAAATCTAGTTTTTGTGCATGGGTTTTGAGTCCAAAATTTGTAATTAAACTCTAACAAAATGATATTAAAATAACTATACCCATTATAATAAATATTTTATCTACAACATACGTATGTATTAATGAATTTAATTTGAAGAAAACAAGCTTAAGATCATGTGTCCCTAATGCAGCATTACCCGCTCACATCATAACGGACATGTGTACTAAGTTTCAAGTTAATGTGATCACAACTTTATGGTAATCTACCTTGACCAAAAACTTTAACCTGCTATAGGACTGACAAACAGACATATGGACGGACGGACAACACTTAATACCGCTTCTATCGTAGACGTGCCATACAAATACAAGAAAGACAACAACAAAAAACGAATTGCATAAATATGATATATTTATACCTGAAACCCGTCGTAAAGACACACACACACACACACAAATAAAAACATGCCTTTTAATCAAACATACCGTACAGTTTGAATTCATTTTTACAATCAAAATCATTCCATTATTTAATCTACCAATCTACACATCAGTCTTGACAAAACATAATGTTTATTTTTAATTTTTTTTTAAATTGTTGACTACAGATAACATAGAAAGGGTAACAGTAATCACCAACAACTGTTTACAGCAGCTCAACTTCAAATTTTCACTTAAAAGTACATATCTTTTTATTTTAAAAAAAATCTATAAATCATGATAATCCAGTGTAGAATTGAGAGAAGACTTGTTTATAAACCACGCCGTTCATTTTATCGTTTGAATTATTTTATATTTTGTCATTTTGGTAACCTAAAGTTGTTTAAATCCGAGTCCTTTGGTCTCTGATAGAGAGTTGTCTCATTTGAAATAATACCACATCTTCTTATTCTGATGTATTAATACTGTGTTATCATTATTTTGTTAATTGCATGTATGCCATCAACCCACTGTGCATTTAATTTCAAATAAATAAATAAATTATATAGGACATATAGGTGCAAAGAAGAATCAATGTGACAACAGATAAGGATACATGTATTTTTTTTATGCAAACAAAAGCTGTAGGTGTTGTGTTTTATTTAAGAACGTATACTGCTCAAAAGGGGTTACATGTAATGTTAGAGAACGGACGATAATAATAATATAAACTAAATTAAAAAAAAGGATCACTATTATTTATATTATTTACCCGGCGTATCATTAGTGCAAATGAAATAAGCACCGAAACAAAAAAAATACAAATAGGTCTAAGTGTACAATCTTTCTTAGATCTTAAATATAAACAAATCGTAATTTAAACACATATGATATAATTTTTTCTCTTCGCAGCGGCATCGACACGGCAAAGACCATTATCACCGTAATAACAATTCTTTCGACAATCCAGGCTACCACAGAGATGATATATACAGACCTGATTATAGACAAAAAGACTATTTACATGGAAGTATATCGTCAGATTCAACATCAAAGCTGAAGTCTCCGAAAGCTATAGTCGTTGCCATAAGAATAGGACTTTTAATAGTTGTCGGCGGTGCAATAGCGGTATCTGTGTATTTCACTTTTTTGCAAGTATGAACAATTTCTTAATTCTTAATTTGTAATATTTTGAATGACGTAGTGTATTTCGTTGACAAGCATTTTATTCGTCAAAAGAACTCAACCCCGTATCCGACAGTCAAAATATTATTTGAAATATATAGATATAAGCAACGCAGTAAACTAGTGATCAGCGTCTAGTTGGACAACGAATGACAGACTTTGTAGGGAAAATACTTAAATGATTGTAGTGTACGTAGGAGATCTTTAGATTTGGCGTAAAACCGGGTTCAACCCACAGTTTTTATATCATTAAGTCAGGAATATTATATTTAATTACCCATTGTTCCAAATATAGCCGTTTGAAGTGGATTTTTCTGTTAAGAATTGTGCAGCTCACGTGTATACTTAAAAGTTGTGATATTTTTTATATACCTTAGAGTTTCTTTTATGCATTTGTGATTCACATTTTTGTTACAAGCGCTTGTATATTTTACAATAGTTTAGACAAGTTTGAACATTTGGGACGGTAAGAGCATCAGACATACGATATTATTTCTGTTTTCGACATATTTATTACGTGTCCTTAAAAATCTATTTCATAATATCTATGCATAGAATCGTAAGTAGGGGGCTAAAATTACATGTTAAAAAAATTAGGGTGATGTATTATTATCTAAAAAAACATTTGGTCCAGCTGAAAAAGGAAAAAAAATTAGTTTGTCTGAAGCCGTCACGGAATTATCAATATTTTGAGTTATAGACTTTTCTATACTTTTGATAAAAATTTGTCCCAAAAGTAGTACACTTTACTGTAAAATTCTTTTTGATATATCGTCTAAAAGAAATGCACTGCGAAATATATGTGTTCTCAGGCATGTATAATTCGTCTGTTTCTTTCGGTCAGTTGTCTTTCTGTTCGTTATGGAGAATTTGATATCATCGGGATGTAGCACAAAATTCTATCTATCTTTTATAGTTTTCAATATAATAGGCAACAATGCAAAACTTGGAAAAATCGTCATTAAATGGCAAAATACTTCGATCATTTCGGTATTCATTACTTATTTATCCATCTTGTCTTTCTCACCATTTTACTATTTCAAGTTTCTATCTCTATATTATATTTTTTAAAGATAATACGCAAAAATGCAAAAAAAAAGGGGGATCTTCATTAAAGAGCAATTATTATAACTTCAATAATGTGTCGACTTCAGATTTCATTTATCTGACCTATTTGAAGTTCGTGTCTTGCTGATCATTTTTGCTGTAAATAGTATTTGTCTATCTAATATAATTTTCGAGATAATAGGCAAAAATAAAAAATAAAAAACGTAAAAATCGTCTTTTAATAGCAATAACTCCTACAAGAAGTCGTCTGACAGTTTTGCTTTCAAGAAACATTATATAAATCTCATCATTCTGAATATTTTTGGCAATTTTAGATTTTCAATATCTATAGCAGTTTTCAAGATAATAGATATTACCCCCTATGTTCTATTTTTATCCATGTCGGCAAAAGGGGTCATCGGACACAATTATCAAAATAGATTCCCCATTGATGAACGTGACCATATTTGGTTACATTTGGCCCTGTAGTTTCAGAGATGATCTTTTAAATGTTAACGGACATCGACGACGGACGCCTATTAATGACAAAAGCTCACACTGCCCTTCGGGCCAGGTGTGCTAATAAATAGAGAGAAACGTTAAAAGCAAACATGATCAGCAAGACAAGATCTACAAATACGTCAACCTGACCGAAATAGGCAGTCGACTCTTTATTCGAAATATTGCCCCTTAATCATGTTAATGACCATTTTTGCCATTTTTGTTTCCTATATTAAAAACTATAGTAACTAGATAAATGTTTAATAAAGATCGTCAATACAAGATCTACAAATACGTCAACATGGCCGAAATCGTCGGTTTTTTATAGACAGCAAAAGTTAAACGAGTTTTACTGAATGGATTTTGATTTTTCCCAGGCATAATATAATCCAACTTTATCGAGTAACAATTTCACTTTCATTCTATGCCAGTCAGGTCGACCTTGTTCTTTCGGTAATATTATTGACGCCTACCTTTAGACTTTCGGAAGTTCTACACAGACCGTAAATGTCTGCGTTCTTGCGTTCGGTGAGATTTATAAATATTTGTATATCTACACGAAGGACCTATTAACTTCTATTACTTGTTACTGAAATGGGTTAAAAATAAATATCAGAGGCAATAAACCGAGCGGAATGCACAATATAATAAAGAGACGGACGTCTTTATTAAAATATGTTCGGTGAGAAGAAATTATTTATTTGTACTTATTCATAGGACATCATTCCTTGCTCGCAATATCACATTTCCTTGTTCAGTGAGCTACTAAATCTCGTTTAAACCCTAATTTTGCATAAATTTGTAACTGTTAACATAGTACTTAACCTGTCTAACTTTTAAGTTGATGTGATGAAACCTTCATGGTAAACTATCTTAAACCAAAACGTGAAGATGACACAGGACTGACGAGCTAACGGACTGACCAGAAACATCAGCCGAACGATCCGTAGAAGGGACATAAAACTAATAAGGAATAAAATCATGATGTACATTTCAATGCTCATTTATTATAATAACTTTCATGATTACCAAAAAAGATCAAGGATATTTCATCCGTTCAAATTGTCATGTAATTTCAGCTATATGTAGCATATAAGACATTGTAGTATGAAAATCAATCTTTCATTTACTTTTTAAACTATCACCCAATCAATACACTTGTGATTTTAAAATGATAATAATATCATGGTCTGTCATTATGAGTGAGTAGCGCTTAGTGAAATATGAATGTAGATCTCTAATTAAAAGACCGAAAGGTTGATTTCTGTTTACCGTCCAGTGGCAAATATCTTATGCATATTCAGGTTGACAGCAATTAAAGTAAATCCAATCAGCAGTTTTGTAAAAAAAATATTGGTTGACTGTTCTAAAAGGCGGGAAATTAGATTGCAACGAAACATTTCGAAAAAGACAGTCGCAACATTCCACTTACTGACTTATGAGAATTAGTTACATATGTTTCCGACGTGCTGCATACAGCGTGGCACTATCCCTCCACATGTTCTTGTCCTTAATATTCCTATCTCGACAGGACGTGGCTGTGTATTTTTACATCCCATGCGGCCAAACAGAAGCCCCTCTACAACATGGGATTACGGCCAGAATGACGTTATCTAGATGACAATAGTGTTATACACTAGCACTCTCACTAGAATACAGATCATGAGTCCACACTTAGCTTATACGTAGAACGGAGCTCAGATCCTTGTAAACAAAGCTTAAACACAGGATCTGTATTTTCAACTCACCATTTCTCAGCAGTTACATACCATCTGTCCCATCTTATTGCGTTCACATCTCTCAATTGATATTGCATATTGACACTTTTTTTACGGATTTCCTTATTATGGTGTGCTTCTTACACAAAACTGCACCAACGAGTAACGAGGAAAAACTACTAAAATTAACACGACTTTGTGTCATGGTCACCATCTCAAATTAGTTGACCAATACGATATGTCGTTTTCTCAACTCACTTGCAACATGTTTTTGCAATTATGCTGTGTTGGTGAAATTAAGATTCTGCCTGTGCTTGCGTTTAGATATAAACTTTTGACTGCCAACCCTTTAAACAGTGAAATTGTACTTGGTTGCCTTAATTTGACACCAAAGATTTATACTCCGAGACATCCTTTCGTTTGAATCTGCTTAATTTTATTTTATTTGGTGGCTTTCTAGACAATAATTATATCGTATATCTCAAAACATACTACGGACCAAAGGTGAAGAGTTCCAATTGTTCATTCGGCTAGATAAACAGAAAGATTTTGGAGACTTGTAACAAAATATGCAGAAAATACCCAAAAAAAAAACAAATCTATGACAAATCAGAAGTCGACGAAAAACAGAAAATACCATAGCCAAAAAGACACATGACGAAGGAAATACTTACAATATTCTTTAAAAGTTAGACAGGAATCCTCCAGAAACTAAGGATCATCTCATGTACCCCGAAAATGTGATCAGATGCTGCCGTGCTTGTGGCATCCGTCGTGTAGTTAATCGCAAGTAGAAATTTGTAAGATTATATTTAATAGCATCCGGAGAAAAATCGAATCAGCTTCGATTGATATAGAGGTGATTTTTAAAATCCAATAATCTTGGTTTTATGGTGATCTCATTTACTTTTTTAAAAGAAGACGTTGAGAGTGATGGACATATGTCAGTTGAAATCTCATCCCGAATTTATCGCAAGAGGGGTAAATGTTTTCTTAAATGACATGCTTAAACCTTTTTTTTTTAGCTATTGTTTGTGTTTTGTATCGATCCGAGATGTCCAGCCCTTTCAATTGATTTTGAGTTTGTTCTGATGTTGTGCTGTTACACCACTGTACCAGGCAAGGGGAGAGTTGTGCGCCCACACATTTTGTTTAACTCCGCCACAATCTGCATGCGCCTGTCAAAAACGAAAATGGGACGGACGAAAGGACGGCCAAGGGTAACACTTAATGCCCCCGTTGCCTACGGCAGGGGCATCAAAATATGTCCTTTATGTCTGCAGCTCACGAGGTCAACATCTTAAAGTTGTTAAATCCTACGTCAAAATAATAACTAGCTAGTGACGTCATATCGTTTGTTTGTATCTGGAAAATATGGCGGCTGCCTCAAGGTTTGGCACCTGCTCGGATATGAACATTGAAAGCATTTTAAAACAGAAAGACTCACAAAGCACTAAGCAGGCTACAAAAGCTGCTTTACTATGCTTAAAAGAGTATGCAATAAGTAAAGATAGAGATCTTGATTTTTCTAGTTACAGTCAAGATGAACTTTGCAAACTTATCTCGAATGTGTATGTTGATTCAAAGAAAATTATATCTTTGTATTCAGTTCAGTATAATAATACAGTTATTGCCGTCATGAAAAGTTAATATCCAGCATTATTAAATCCTATGGACCTCGAGTAAAATAACCTTTCCTCGATTTAATATTTTTATATTGAACATTTGATGAAGGCCATAACTGTATATTATTACAGTATTAAGTTTGTAGAGCAATAAAGTCGATAATATAAAAAAAGATATAAATATATTAAAACGAAATAATAGAACAAGAAAAAATATAGTTTCATATTTTGTAGTAGTTCTCCAAATGAGCAGAGCATAGCAGTGACCAACTTTACATTACGACAATGCAGAGGACATCAAAAGGGCGGTCGTTTAAAACTAGCTACAAATAAGATTATGACCAATAATGGTTCTCCTCGCGACTAATGCACAGCAACAAGGGAGTTAGTCATTGCTACTCTGCAAGATTCTTCAAGGAACGGTGAACAAGGACTCAATAAGGGAAACTCTATAAATTTCAAATTATACTATAAAGAAGATAATTTTATATTATCGGAGATATAATCACTATCCAAAAAAGGAAGATTTAGATGGATGTGTTTGTGTCAATCCCATCAAAGTTCAGCAACTTTCGCATCTCGCTAATAGTTTAAAAGACATCTTGAGCCTTTCTTCACACACAGCTGCCATTCTTTTGAAGACAATATTGGATATATATTAAAAATGAATAAAGGGACTATTAATAATCAAATCACCACTACCGAAGTTTTTATTCAAAAACTTCCAAGACTGAAAGAAAAATGTGTACTGAGGGGATCTAGTGAAGAGAAGCTATACATTTTTGATTGTCCTCATCTTCTAAAAAGGTGTCTGCAAATATCGGATGGTGTGTACAGCAAGTATTAAAAAAGCATAACAAAAATTTGGAACTCCAAGGCAAATTCAAAAGGTGAAGTCCATAAAAATTGACAAAATCAAACGCTATCAATCAACAGAACAAGTGAAAAACAACTGCCATAAAAGAGAATGGTAGATAAAGATGAGTTTTCTGCTATAGAAATGTTTTTGGGATAAGTGGCACAAATAAACTAATTATAAATACCAGGATTATATACAAAAGACTCATCAGTGACGCTCGAATCAAAATAGTTAGAAAGCCAAAATAAAGTACGAAGTTTTAAAAGCATTGAGGACTTTGTCAAATACAGCTTATGTAATCTCTTACTGGGGTAGAAAATTCTTAGTATTTCGAAAAATCTCACAGTTTTTTTTATCAAACAGATACTTTTCCAAGCGTTAAAGCTTTAGACAATTCTACAATTGGTTTTCAGGAAAATCATTAGCCAGAATTTGGTGATGTACGTTCCTTTCTGCAACTGACTATCAGTTCAGGCTTGTAAAGGTGTGACTAATAATAAATTTGTTTAAATAAAAGGTAAATAAACTGCATATGCTTGATTGTTTCTTGGTTAAAGATATTTAGCTAGATCCGATTTCTATATTTTATTTTTTTAAAAGCGTAAACATTAAGATTTTATATCTAAATTTAAAAATCTGGCATTTCACAAGGAGAGATAATTATACTGAAAGTTTATGTAAATCAACCAGTTTTGTCATTACTTCCTGAATATATCAGGAAACAAGGAATTTACGTTTTTCATTATTTATAATAAGCAATCTAAAAAAAAATAGCCAGTCTATATAAATCAAATGCTTGCCTTAAGTCTTCAGTATTAATTCTATATTCCCTTTTTTACGAATGTCTCCATGGGCCTTCCTTAATTCCTTTTATAAAAGACCGAATTGTATTTTCAAAGATTTATTTTAAAAAAAAAGTACAATGTAAATAAGTAATTTAAGGAACATGAGTGTAGGGTTCGATTTTCAAAAGGAATTATTAATCCCATCTCACTAATCTTTAAAAAAAATAATAGAATTTGATATAGATTAATACATGGCCTTTTCCATTTCGACCCGGGTATCAGCCATATACCATGATGTCAGCCCGAGACATATGAAGTTATATTAATATTTTATTCCTCAGCTGCTGTTATCAATGAAGCCCAATAAAATAGAATTAATAAGTAAATGTGTTTGAATAACTACGAAAAGATCAAATAGGTTGAAGTGTTTAACGACGTAGTCAACCCCATTTTTGGTGCCATTGTTGACAATAATATTGAGCGGTCAAAACAAATGGGTAAAGTTAATAACAAATAAGGCAAAAGAAAGACAAAGAAACGTAAGGAAGGGCTAAAAAAAGTACTGAGTATTTAAGATGTGACAGAATCACACTATGAAGGTGACGGGGCTGTTGAGCTACATAATTTACACGCACTATATCACAATAATCACAGGATCAACAGTGAGTTGTTGTCATTTTGGATTAAGGTTTAGTCGTACAGGAAGGAACATTTAGTGCCAGAGAAATTATATGGAGAGACGGTCGATAGGTGGTAGAGGCGTATTGGCAGATGCACTTTCAGCATGCAGTAATTGTGGCCTACCAATTTACCATGCTACAAACGTGATAACTTATGGATTATCAGGTATAGTTAAGGTGAGGTTCAAAATAAAAACAACTATGTAGAAACATCCTTCATAATATTAAAGCTGTAGCTCAAAAACTGTAGGAGGAGATAGCCGGACAAACCATGTGTCTATATCTGGACGGACAGGGGTAAATTAATATGCCCTCGACATTTTGTCGTGGAGGAGGGGGGGGGGGGGGGGGGAGGCATACAAATACTGAACAACAAAAACTCATCAAAGATAAATTTAGGTTCAACTTACTCACAATTGCTCTACATTAGAATGGATCACAAGTTTCAGAAATATAACAAATACTTAATGGAAGAAAACGAAAAAGATCAAAGTCGAATAAGCGAGTAGAACCTTAATCAGAAGAGAGGCTAAAGATTGACATTGACGGTACCAATTTTTATGCACCAGATGCGCATTTCAAAATGACAATGCCATGGCAAAAAATTTTAAATAAATGAAAAAACAACGAAAATTCAAACATAATTCTACAAACCACAACATAAAAAACTGAAGACACATCTTACGTAAGCATATTTTAATCAATCATATTCGATTTATGTGAGAGTACAGAAGAATAAAAATATTGTGGAATCAAGAAACTCTCCTTTGCCTATTAAAGGTCTTGATGCCATTTACTTAGGCTTCATCATTCACCATAAATCATTTCAATCGAAATGCCTCCCTACTTTAAAGATCAGTCTGTTCCTATCAGCTTATATACCTTAACCACACCTTAATTTTTCAACTACAATCACGTGTTGCAGAATCGCAATATTGGCGACTTCAAGTCTAAACCTCCCTACTGCATCTGAGCTAGTTCCGTATTTATATATATAATCTGACCTGGAACGTTATTACATGTACTTTAGTTCGTGACCCAAACATTGTCAACACCATTCTGCGAAACGTGTTAACCAAAAGTCCTAAATACCGTGAGCCTAAATTCATACATTGGAAACACTTATACCATTCCTTCAGTTTTTGCTTGTTACCTCGATGTGATTCTTTTAAATCGATTTACGAGATTTGAAAATCGGTAAATTACTGTCGCCTCAATATTGTGGCGATTTTGGATAATAGTAGTGTTGATATTGTTTATATTTGGGGGACAAATATTTATGTACCGTTGTGATTAAATTATGTATAATGAAGACTTCGTATGTTAACTGAAGTGTGTTGACATTATTCGTCTCTATTTTTGTTTTTTTGCCAACTGGATTATGTATTATAGTATTAAATGTGTGTATTTTATTATATAGTTTCCTATTATATAATCAGTTAATATTGTATAATCCAGTATTAAAGGAAATGTGTGGGGTTTTTTTTGGAACAAGGGTTTCTTTTACTTTTGCTTTTACCGGAAGTGAAGGGTATTGTTCTGAAACATGTGGAAGAAATCGTAGAATATTTAGACTGTATTAAAATTATATTTGTGTATGTTTTTAGAAATAGTGACAGATGTTAAATTATTTTATGTAAAATTTATGTAAAATAGAGTTTTATTAAATTCAGAGAAATTGCTCTATATAAACTATTTTTGCACGTTAACGTCAAAGATATTTGCCTTATAAGGAAGTTTCCTTATTTGGTCATACATTTTAACCTTATTTGGAATTTCATGCGTGCGAGGTAAACAAAAGCGTAAGAATGTCACGATCTCCAGTTCGCAGCTAATAAATATTGACGTGTCTGATTAAATTTTAAGGTACAGTTTCGCTTTAGAAGGTTGAGGTTTCTGAATGTTGCGTTATATACCCAGTTTAATTATTTATAGTAAATCATTTGAAGCAATCTATTTGTTCCAGTTTCCATTTTCAACGGAGTCAGAATATCTATTATTATCTTGTCTCCTTAGATATCCGTGTTTTCATAATAGTAGTAGAATGAACTTTAACTTTGAATAGGGTAAAGCTGCGTAAAGACTGCATTAGTGTCCGTTGATTTAAATTGTTGGGTTATCGTTAATCTATTTTAATAATCTAGAAAGAGGGTAATTAAGGATTGTGATTTATTTATTTAATACAGGTATTAAGGAAAGTTGTCGATGGAACCAGTGTGTTTCTTGAACTATGTCGTTTTTTGGTAGATCTAAGTATTATTGATACTTGTTCGTTTAATATAGACGGAAATTGTTGATTTTGGAACCTAAATAAGTTACAACTGTTAACTCATGTAGCACTTGTTATTATGCCAGTATCGTAAATAAAAGCTGCTAAATTTGATTCAGTTTTGTGTTTAATTTCAGAACGTTGATCGCAATAAATACAGAATATGATGCTATATTGAAATACATATAAAAATAAAAGTAACCCGTCTTACCACACAAAAACGAGACTTATATTAAGGTAGGCTGTTTGTGCCAAGTCATTTTAAAAGTTTATTTTAAATGTAGGAGTAATTGTTCTGAGCGTTTGGTTTTTGTATTTAATTATTTTGGTAAGTGATTTGTTCCCGTTGGTGTCTGTCTGGTCTTTTTGTTGATCTTGTCGGGAAGATAGGTTCTCGTCCGTTGGCGAACATGTTACAATACATAACTACCTGTCCTGCAAACTGGTATTTATCATAGATTTTGTTTTAAATTGGTTAATAAGATTAAAGGTTGATCTCTTTCAAACCATGAAACAATTCATAAAGTAGCTTCAACATTAATGACAAAATTGAGTTTCCCAAATTAAAGTGACAGAAAATGCCTTATCAGTATATAATTTACTCTAACAAATGTATGTTTATTTCATGAGATCGAGATTTGTGTTTCTGAGTTGACGTACTTTATTAGGTGTTCTGGAGACAAGAGAATATGACATCCCATGAGCCCCGCTGTTGTTTGACATAAAAAGATTCAACTTAGCACGACTGAATTACTTTATATGCTAGAATAAGATCCATTTGCGAAACAAATTGTAAAATGAGAGGTGGATAGAGGGTGCAGGAATCAGGAGTTATTCGAAGCGGAGGAAGGAAGCAAGAAAAGTGGGAGAGAACCAGGAGTTGATGGTCACTCTGTTTAACCCCTCTTTCTTTGTTATCACTGACATTCATTTTTTTTAATATATATAAAGATCTTTTCAGATTGTCTTTGTCCTTTCTGGAACAAATTTGCACTTTTTAGTCACGTTGTGTTTGTTTTATTGGGTTATAAACATAATACAAAACTGGATATGGACGATGCCCCCTCTGCTCTACCATATGCATGAGTGTAGTTCCGCATACTCAAGATTTGTCAAACAGTGATGTTGAAGTAGAACTTGAAATTGTTTCACTGCCTGTAAGAAACAAATGTTGCCCCCGCCTGACCATAAGAAAATATAAATTAAATCTAGTAATTTTATTCTGAATGTTTACACTTGCAGGACTGAATGTCCAGCCAAAAGGTTTCAACTTTCCATTTCTAGTGGTCACCAAGTTCAACTTCCCGGTATTGATTAAATATTTGACAGTACTAGAGAATCTTATTTATTGCATTAGGGGCATTAAACTGTAGCGGTGCAAACCATGTTTTCAATTATAGCAAGTGAGAAGGAAATGAAGTCCAACTACCAGCTTATGTGAATATCTAACATCCCCCCTTTCTGACGTTTAATACAAAAAAATGACTAAGTCCACATACCTGGCATTTTGAGAATATTTGAAAAAATCTAAATCCTGAGGACATATACACCTCTATAATGTGTAGAAACATTATACAAAATAATAAAGTTGTAGCTCAAAAACTGTAGGAGGTGATAGCCGCACATATGTATCTATATCAGGACGGACGGACAGGGTAAATTAATATGCCCCTCGACATTTTGTCGCGGGGGCATAAAAAATTGTTTACCTTGAAACTGATCTTATATACTGAGAGGTTTTGTCATTATTTATTGCTTGTTTGCTTATCGTCCTATGGCAAGTAGGTCGTGCATGTTCAGGACGAGACAAATAAACAATAAATACATTAGTTAGACCATGTAATAGGGGTAGGCTAGAAATTTGGACTGCCATTGGAAAATGGGGGCAATAGTTCAGAGGGACAGATCAGTTAAAGTTGTTGAAAATTATATTAGGTCAAAGCCGCATAAATTGGCCCTAATTATATAAAATAAAAAGGAGATGTGGCATGATAGCAAACTATCCACCAAAGTTCAAATGAATTGGATGTAAGCAATTATAGGCAACCGTACGGCCTTTAACAATAAGAAAAACCCATACCGTATAAACGGCTATAAAAAGCCCCAACATGAAAAATATGAAATAATTCAATTGAGAAAACTAACGGCCTAATTCATAACAAAATAATTTATGAAAAACAAACATGATAGACAAGAACCAACAGCAACCACTTAACTACAGGCTCATGACTTGGGACAGGCACATATAGAATGTGGCAGGGTGAAACATGTTTGAAGGTGCCAACCCTTCTGTAACCTGGGAAAGTGGTGTAACGGCACAACACAAGACCAAACTGTATAAAATAATAAAGGAAAATAAATGTAAGAAACAGCAATAAACGATAACCACTAAATGACAAGCTCCTGACTTGGGACAGGCAAACATAGAATGTGGCGGGGTTCAACATGTTTGAAGGCGCCAACCCTTCCCCTTACCTGGGACAGAGGTGTTACAGTAAAACATACGAATAAATTATAAAAATCAGTCTTAAATGGCTCAACTCATCAGATCGATAGAAAGCAGAAAACATCTAACAAAAAACACTGTCCGGACGTGGCAGTCTATTTACACATCCATGAAATAAAAAAAGACAAAGTACAGATCTGAGAGAACTCGCAGTTACTGAGAGCTAGTTCAAAGCCAATAACAACTAATAAAAAAATCATGTATCTAAGACCAAAATATCAATCAGTACACATTCAACATCCAATGGATTTAGTGTAAGACGTCATTAACAGTCAGATAAAAACATACCCTTGTGCAAAGCCAAACTATAGGTATCGACAGATTGTACATGTTGTAGTACAGTGAATGTACATATATATATATTACTATAATATTTAGTATGGTTTAAACTTACTT